TCGCGATGCATTCTCGTGACGTGCATGTGCAGGCCATGCGCGGATACAAAGCCCGAGCCGCAGTGAGGGCAGGCGTGCAGCCTCTGCTGTGAGGCCTCGGTGCTCGCAGGAAGGTTTTCCACCTCTCTCAGCATGTCCTGTAGGTCCTGTACGACGTGGTCCAGCTGCATGACGTCTCCGTAGGTGTGTGGCTCAGACGGCTGTGGGGGTGCTGGTGGGCTCGTTCCTGGGGGACTTTGCCTAGTCCATGGGCCTCTCTGCACTTGAAGTGCACTGGGAGTGGGAGCGGGCAGGACTGCAGTAGTGGCTTCGGGGTGGGCGGCTCTCTTGCACAACGCCATCCTGGTTTGGATTTTAGCCACTGGGTCCTGGATTGCATGTAGTCGGTACAGGTCTGCTGTAGGTGTATGGCCTACGTGGGCAGGCTGATTTAGGACTGAGCGTATCTTGTGTGCGTACCAGCCTCGAAGATGCCTGGCCGTCTCCTCCGTGAGGCCGACTTCAGGGAGACCCGTGACCAGGGTGGCCCAAACGGTGGTGAACCAGACCTTTAGCCTGGCCATTGGCCCCGCAGTGCGGCGATTGTAGACGAATCGCTTGACCTGCAGGCTGCCTGCAGGAGCTTTTTGGCAGCCTCTGCTATGCGGAAACGCAGCGTCTGCATTTCAAAGTTTCCGTAGGAAATCTGGATGCCTAAGTGTTTGATTTGCGCCTCAAGTCTGTATGCAGGGAAGGACTTGTGCCTGCCCAGCCGCCAATGCCTCTGTAGCGTGCCCGTCGAGTCAGGAAGCCAGCAGGTGTGCTTCTGAAGCACTGCTTCCGCCTCTCGGCCGTTAAGCTTGACTAGTATGGCACATTTGGTCGGGTTGACGCGTAGTCCCAGTTTCTCCACCTCCAACCGAAGCTGTAGGATCATTCTGTGAGCAGCGTCCACGTCGGCTTTGCTGCGAATGGTGCGATGCATGGTGAAGTCGTCCGCGTAACCTGTGAAGTATCTGCGGACATTGTCCCAGCCAAATGTGTCGATCAGCCTTTTAAGGAGACGGCCTGTGAGCACAGAGAATAACGTGGGGGCTAGCTTACAGCCTTGCTTAATGCCTGTGGTGGTTTCCACGTCCTTGTAGTTCCCCTGAGAGTGAAGCCTGTATTTGGACCGATGATGAAGTCCATGTATGAGCTTCTGAAGCGGGGGATCCGCTCCCAATTCATCTAGCAAGGACAAGATCTCGCTGCGAGAAACAGTGTCGAATGCCTGCGACAGGTCTAGAGCGAAAGTGATGCCGCCGACAAGACCTACAGGACATTGTCCTCGCTGCTGATCCGCTCGGGTGAGATTCGCATCGCGACAGAGCTGTCTTGCTTCCCTCAAATGCTGAACTACTCTGCTTTGTGCATCCGAAAGACCTCTGCCAGGGAGGTACGCAAACTGGGGCAGAGGCTTCATGTATGGTAGCGTGAGAGGCTCCAGGAGCTCTTTGGCCGTGCCCGCCAGTCCTTTAGCATCCGGGCGAAGAATGCCCAGCGGCCTGAGTTGTGAAGGCTTGTCAGCTGGCTTGCCCGGTTTCGGGATTAAGCAGAGATCTGCGCGAGTCAGATCGTCATCCAGTGACTGGTCTTGCGTCAGGCTTGAGCAGTATTGTGAAAGCGCCGCAGAGACCGGCTGAGCGCAGAGCTTCCATGCTGCTGCGGGCGCTGCTCCTTTCGGAACCGCCTTTCCAGGTCTGATCGAGGCAATATGTTTTGCTAGCTTGGTCTGTGGCAATAGGGGCAGATGTCCCGAATCAGATGGGAGCTGTGGGTGCGCCGCAAAGACCTTAGTTGCATACTGCCCCAGCGCTTTCAGTTCGTCCGCAGGACTGAGCAGGAAGCCGTGCTCGTCCTTAAGCTGAGCTTTCAAGGCCGGTTTCCACGGCCTAAGGTGCTTAAGAGTCTGATATGCCAGGCGTTGATCGCCCTGGCCCAGAGCCTGATCAACCTCATCGAGAAACCGCTTGGTCTGGTCCTTGCGAGCCTGCTTGACCGCCTGTTTATGCTGCTCACACAGCGCCTGCCGGGTTTCATCTTCCGGCGATGGCTCCGTACCAGAGTGAGCATTGCTCCCACGCGCTGAGCGCCACATGCGTCTAGCAAGGCGCGTCTCCGGACTATCTGGCATTGCCACCGGGGTCTTAGGGAAGAACCTGGATGTGGCTTCGCCAAGAAGGCGATCCCATGACGCCGGCTGCATGTCCGGGGTGAGATTTGCTTTGACCCACTCGAGCATTTGCTGAGCTGGCTGCGTGTTATTCCTGACTGCCGTTTGCAGAGCAGCGGTGTCGTGCTGATGTTGTGGTATCTGAGGAGCTGGCAGATTCCAGTGCCGAACTGGTTTGACAGCTGCACTTAGGGGTAAGTGTCCTCCTTTTTTCCAGCTACCAAGCGGGAAAGCTGCCAGCGGCGTAGAGGCTTTGGCAGTGCCACCAGCAGAGACCTCCCTTGTAAGCACAAAGTCGATTTGGGTGCGCGTGTCCCCTTGCTGAAACGTATGAGTCGGCTGAGGCTTCCACGTGTTAAGAGCAACCAAGCGATGATTAAGCAGAAAATTGGTGAGCTCTGGCTCATCTGGCCTCGGTTCCTGTGGGCAGATGATCTCAGGACCAACCAGCCTGGGCTGCTGTTGCAAGGAACTATTAAAATCTCCTGCCAGGACCAGCTGCTATTTCGTCACAAGGCAAGCCGAGTGACTCCCTCCACCACGCGGCTAGTGGAAACCCTACCGCCTGCCCAGTGGGCCCGTGCTGAGACAGGGTACTGGGTCCAGGAATTGGGACCTGGTGGCTCAGACGCGGGCAGTTGGCACATGGCACATGGCTCAACGTGAGACACCAACCCTTAGTCGTTCGGAGAGAGGCCTGTTTGAGACCTCTAGCAAGGCAAGGTTGGAATCCAGAGCCAGTTCGAAAGCCAGCGCGAAACTTCCAAAACGTCTGAGCCGTGGCGGCTACTACTACTACTCCTGCTACTACTACTACTACTACTAGTACTACTACTAGTACTACTACTAGTACTACTACTAGTACTACTACTACTACTACTACTACTACTACTACTACTACTACTACTACTACTACTACTACTACTACTACTACTACTACTACTACTACTACTACTATGGTTCCGCGCCTCCTGGCGCCTGGTAGTTTTGAGGGGTCGAGTGTGTAAATGCTGGGTTTTTAATACTTTTTAGAAATTGTAGTTAAGCCAACATCAAACGAACTAATTGCCTGGGTTTATGTGGATGATGATGAGGATTGTGAGGATTATGAGGATGTGATCAGGTAACGATGATGTTGAAGATGGCGAGGAGGATGGTTATGAGGATGATGATGATGATGATGATGGTCAGGTTAATGTTCATGTCACTGCCTTTGGCGATCATGCCCAAGACACTGGAATTTACAGCATTTTCGTCTCTTTGTACAACATGCTGCACAAGGATGTGGAGCAAGACACGTTGTCACAAGCATCCTACTACTGCTACTGCTTCCGGCGCTACTGCGTTTCTGCTTGCGGTCAACCATGTCGTTACCAGCACGCCCCCCCACCCCACCCCACCCGGCACCCTGGCAAAACGCAAAAAAAACGCAGAAAAACAGAGGTTAACACCAAGCGCCAAGAGGCGCGGTTGGCTGCTACTACTATTAGTACTAGTACTGGTACTACTAGTACTGCTAGTACTACTAGTACTACTGGTACTACTGGTACTAGTGGTACTACTAGTACTACTAGTACTACTAGTACTACCAGCACTATTAGCACTACTAGTACTACTAGTACTACTAGTACTACTAGTACTACTAGTAGTACTAGTACTACTAGTACTACTAGTACTACTAGTACTACTCGTACTAGTACTGCTAATACTGCCAGTACTGCTACTACTGCTAGTACTACTACTTCTACTACCACTCTACCATTACCACTACCACCACTACTACTACTACTACTACTGCTGCTGCTGCTGCTGCTACTACTGCTATTACTGCTACTACTACCACTACTACAACTACGACTACGACTACGACTACGACTACTACTACTACTACTCCTCCTTCTACTACTTTACTATTACTGCTACCCGAAGGTCTGGCGCTGCCACGAACGAAACGCAAAGACTTTCCCAACTGGGAGTATTTATACAAGCAAGCATGCCAGATGTCATCGAAGAAGTGGATTGTATGGCTTGACACTGCGTTTCCGCAAGGTGACGCTGAACTAACAAACATGCAAGACGTCATCATGTATGGCTTGACACTGTGTTTGCGCAAGGTGACGCTGCACAAACAAGCACGCAAGAAGTCATCGACATAGTGGATTGTGTGGCTTTGCAATGCGTTTCTGCAAGGTGACGCGGGATTGTTGCGACTTTCGGCGGTGCACGGCGACTTAGGGCAGGCACCAAGTATCGCTACTTTTTAACATGTCTGCGACTGCAGGCTGCTGCTGCGCCGCCTGCGTGGGCCCCCCTCCAGATTGAAAGTCCAGGGCTCTTAATTGCAGGGGGGGGTCCTCCTAAGCAAACGCACGGATTATGGTGGACCATTCGGCATTTTGTCGAGATCTCACTCGGATGTAAAATGTGTATTCTCACCAACTGATGTGAGATAACCCCAACGCCAAGTAGAAGCAGCGGACTGATGCAAAATCCCGAATCTTGCATTGCCACGCTCTTTCTTGCTGCACCACACTCCACCTCCGAGAGGATGATCATGACCCTTTTGGTTGCGATTCACTTCATGATGCAGACAGCGCTGGTGCTGATGATGAAACGCAAAAGATAATGACATTGCGCGATGATCTCGTGATGATGACGATGGACACTGACGAAGTTGGCGTTGCACAAACGCTGCGACGACAAAGACAAAGATGATGATGATGATGATGATCACACTTATCACGGCTGCCGGCTAGACAAGGACACTCACTCCTTTTTGATGTGCATTTGACTTTTGCGGTGAACTTCAGCAGAAGCCGTAAATCAAAGGTTTCAGCTGCTGCCGCACATCTCCTGAGATCGACTTTGCCAAAATCCTCAGCTGCTGATGGGCTTCAGCATAGCTTCGCCGGGGATCGTCGTCAGCTCGCCACAGTCTCTCCAGGTGCTGGATCACTGGCGCTTTGTTTTGAATTTCCGGCAGCAGTTTGACCAGCAGGGACACAAGCTTCTGACGCTGAGGCTTGTCCAGCGACCGCACGACCAACTGCAGATTCTGCGCGCACCTCCATATAGGTCTCATGTTGGCAGGTATGCCGGATTCAACTAACTTTTCCATCCGGCAAAGCAGTGTTTCTGCAACAGACTGCTGTACAAAAGGGAGACCATCAGCTGCGTAGTTCTGAATCACATCGTGGGAGGCTTTAGAAAGCGAGTCATCCGCACTCTGGCAGTGGCGAAGCAGACTTTGGAGGTTCTTGTCAACAATGTCCCGGACTTGGGCTTCGGCAAAATGGGTTTCATGCTTGGATGCCAGGATCATGCACCAGCATCGGCCTGAGGATGAAGAAGAGTCGGCTAAAGTCGCTACACTGCCAAAAAAACGGACATGCCGGCTGCGAAACCACGGACCATGCTCGAACAAGTCAAGGGGCAATCGTAAAACTTCTGCTGCTCGACATCGTCTGCAAAGGCTGCCTTGAGGGAGACATCCGGGCTTTCGGCAAACACGCGCATCTTTTGCGCGAAAGCGACGATAGATGTGGGCCTGCAAAGCATCATGTGCATGAGACATGATACCCGCATCGCGACATGACATGCAGCTTGCAAAAAGCAAACACTGAATCTAAATGAATGCATATCCAATACAGCAGCTCCGTGACTGGCTGATTGCACATGAGATCGTGCATGGAGGTCATCTTGCATGTACAAAACCAAGCACTACGACGCCTGCTGTGCTTGCGCACCCTAGAACTACGACGGAGCATTCAGAACTCCGCTCGGCTTCTCCCCGAACCCCTGCAAAAGACAGGTGGAGCATTGAAGAAGCTCTCTTCCTTCTCAGGCCAGGAGCATGGCATTTCGACACTACTCGTAGATGCTAGAAACCTGCTGCGACATGCTATGACGGCGGTTGGGACCCTTCCGTGCCTCTCCAAGCTGCCCATCTCGGACACGTGGTTAAGCAAGGCCTGCGGCAGCTGCGGGAGCAAACGGGCATCTCCGGAAACGCAGCAAGCGCTCTGCTCCGAGTGACAATCGGACACGCGGCCTGGGGGCTTCTGGTCTGCGTCGACAGCACGCGCCAAAACAGCAGAGCCTCCACCTCTAGTGAAGTGCATGCACTTCACTACACGCACGGAGGAGGCCTCCCAATAAAAGCATCCTTACGACACATTGGCGACGGCCCTACCACCAGCCACTTCGCTACCAAGCCACGCTCATGAACGGCAGCAGGTTTTTCCTCAGCGGCGGGGGCATCGGAAGAGATGTTGTGCTGGATCTACGGGAAACTGATGCAGACCCTATACATAGACCGACCGAGGAGCATCAGGAGGACTTCGGGAGCAAAATCCGCAGCACCAACCTCGAAACTTACGCACTGAACTCGCTGCATCTCGCTGCCAACGCCCATGGTGAGTCTTTGGTCTCAGTGGCGCGATCAGCCGTTTACTGGCAGCATCATTATCAAGGCCCAGCTGCAACTGTGCTTTCAGGGTCGGTCGAGACCTCCGGCAAGGACGAGATCTCCGGCAATGACCAACCGACCTAGGCTCGTCTTCGTCAACTCTGTTTGTCCACTGCAGCAAACGCAACCACACGCGAGGGAACTGCACATGGGCTTTCGGCAAGAGGCAGAGCAGTCCTCACCCTCGGTCTGGCAAGCTGCATCGGACCGATCATTTCGCCGACCATTTTCTGGCACCGCTGCCCCGGGCTCCTGCGCTGAAGTGCGCTGAACAGGCTGTCTTGCAGACTGGCTCGGTGTATGTTTCGGCAGCCTTTGCCTTGCGTCTCAGAGATTCCATGCTTGCAGATGCTTGGTCCAAGAAAGCTCGGATGCTATGTGCGGCAGGCTCGGGGCATCGCAGGAAACCGCACCATGTCCATGTGTTGCCTGATGTTAGTTGATGCTCCTCCTGCTTCGGAACAGGCCTTCTACAACGGATCTGACTCTAAAATCCACGGCCGTCCTCGGCGCGAGATAGCTCTGCCAGCCGCAGCTCCATCTCTCGGCACCTGGCATCTGCACTGCAGCGAAGAAGCCTCCCTGGCATACGCCGCACGAAACTTCGCACTGCATGGAGCTGGTCCCCTTACAGAGTGACTGTGTCCTGGAGGTAAGCATGGACAGTTCTGGGAATCGCTTAGCAGCCAAGCCACTTGGACTCCAGCTCTTGGACACGCTGCCGGAGCCACTCGTTGTTCTCCCGGAGCGCCTGCACCTCGCAGCGATACCTTTCAGCTTTTCCAACACATCCTCCATTCTGCGCCAGTCGATCAAGGGGTGACTATGCCACTAAGTCACGATCTATACTCATTTGCAACACCCTTTCTTGCAGCTGCGGTGCCCCTCTGAGAGCCCACGTCCGGACTCACCATCGCGAACATCCTTGCCGCAGAACGAAACGAAGGCATTTCTGCGACAGGCAACGTCGATGTAGTGCGGGAGCAAAGGCACTCCCCTAAAACAAAGCTGTCCTCTGAGTCGAAGGGGCCATCCTTGCCACCTGTGGCTGTGCTGGCATCAGATTTGCCACTTTCCGGGTCTGGAAGCCTCAAAATGGCCGAGCGCAACAAAAAGGACACGTGGCGGAAGCACACAGCATACACCCAGCATGCTTGCACCAAGGCACGGAAGCTGCTCTCCGCATGTGCCACTTTTCGGCCTCCATACGAAATGCCTCAGAATGGCCGAGTTCAGCGAACGGAGGTGCACTGATACAGTTTCCGGGTCTGGAGGCCTCGGAATGGCCGTGTGCAGCGAACAGGGGCCCGTTGCGGCTGTCCAGCATGCTTCAATCAAGGCGCTGTTTTCCGCGTGGCGTCGTCAGCAAATGATCGTTCCTCTTCTCAACGTTTCGATGCCTCAGCATGGTCGAGTAAAACAAAAAGATGCCCACATCACCCATCCAGCATGCTTAAGTCAAGGCGCCTTCTGCGTATGCTACGGTGCCCCTCTGAGAGCCCATGTCCGCACTCACCATCGCTAACATCCTGGCCACAGAACGAAACGAAGGCATTTCTGCGATAGGCAACGTCGATGTAGTGCGGGAGCAAAGGCACTCCCCTAAACTAACTTCAGCTGTCCTCTGAGTCGGAAGGGCCACCTGTGGCTGTACTGGCATCAGTTCTGCGACTTTGGTCACCCCAGCTCTTTCGTGGAGGCCTCGGCGACCCAAATGCATGACTCTGAGATCAGCACAGTGCAGGAGCCAGTGCTGGCCAAGGCACTTTAGAAAAGGCACGGGGCGGCCGTCCAGCATGCTTCTCGGCGTCGTTGGCAAACCGTCGAGCTTCCTCAGAATGGCCGAGTTCAGCGAACAGAAGCATACAGCATACACCCAGCATGCAAGCTGCACCAAGGCACGGAAACTGCTCTCCGCATGTGCCACTTTTGGGCCTCCATACGAGATGCCTCAGAATGGCCGAGTTCAGTGAACGGAGGTACACTGCTCGAGGCACTTTACATTTTCCGGGTCTGGAGTCCTGAGAATGGCAGGGGGCAACGAAAAGGGGGCTCGTGGCGACCATCCAGCATGCTTGCACCAAGGAACGGTGTGCCACTGCTTTTCGGTGCATTTGCGGCTTTGCGGTTCCGACGCCTCGGCATGGTCGAGTCTGTCGAGTGCACCAAAAAAAGCCCACCGCACCCATCCAGCATGCTTAAATTGCTTAAATCAAGGCGCCTTCTGCGAGTTCCTCTTGTCGGCGTCCTTGGCAAACCCTCAGCCTCGTTGCCCTCTGCAGCGCACTCGTTTCGACTCCTCGGAATGGCAGAGTGCAACAAAAAATTAAGAGGCCCACTGCACGCATCCAGCAAACTTGAATCAAGGGGCGGAAACTGCTCACCGCAAGTGCCAGTTGGCCCACGACGCATGGCTGCTTGAGGGAGCCTCGCTGGCCCCGTCATTCTTTACCCGCCAAAGGCTCCACGTTCATGACCCGGTTGTGGATGGTTGTGGTCGTCTTTTTCTGATGGATCCCCAAGCTTGTTCCGAAGATTTACGTTGCTGCAATCTGTTGAGATCCAAGAATGCAAAAAGCCAACCATGCGAGTAAATCGCTAATGATACAGTCTGTTCCAGCTGCAACAGCATCGCTGCAACGCTTTTCGAGCTTCACGGAGCCAAGCACGGAATACTGGTACAGCTGGGGTTGTTTTGCGCGAGAGGCATGAGGACTCAAGGCAAGTATTGTGAATGAGCTCAAACGGCCCTTTTGCCCAAGGCCGTTGCGGAATCGGCATCAGCTCAGCAGTGGAAAGCCGATGCAACTCCTCAACGGCTTCGTGACTTGCTTCGTCCTGAAGGCGGTCGATGACTCCAAGCAGTTCACACATTGTCAAGCTCAGGAGTACGTCGGGTTCTACCAGCCTTGACTAGCACTGAATATACAGGCATCTGTCTGACGGTCTTGAAGCGCAGCTCTGAGGCTCTGGCCCGGCACAAGGATGGAGTGTTTCTGCACGCCGGTCGAAATTAGGCAGGTAGGGAGCTCACGACCCTGAAACTCACATCACATGTTTGCACGGCTCTTTCAACCTAAACCTAAACCCTTCTAAATGCATTTCATCTTCGGAACCCTCCCTCTCACCTCGCAGAGGTACATGAGTTCCTGTAACTTGTCTAGCCCTATTACAAAACCGTCATCTTAGAAGAGGGCGCAGGGGCCACGTGTTGTAGCCAAGATGGCTACGACATGCTGCCATGTCTGACAGAAGTGCCCTGCATTACAAGTCTCGGTCTGGGAGGATGGAAGAATGTAAACGGAGACGCACAGCAATGCGAATCAAGTCATTTTGGCGCATGCATGCACTTGGTGAGGCGGTGGAGCTCGACTGGGGCCGCTATGTCGTTCTTGCTTTGATTGAGCCTCTCCATGGCTTTCCACCTCCTCACCCAGGACTGTACACTGCGAAGCTTTGCCCTCCTTTCCTGAGGGGGTCCAGGAAAATCGGACTTTCCCGTGGGAATGGGAACGGGGCCTCCACGAACGCTGTTGGCAAGGCGAAGCAAGCGAAGTGAGGCACGAGTGCATCCGGTTCACGACATTCGACCTGATGAGCTGTCACGACAGAAAAATGTCTGTTGCACTCTGCCAGTAGGCAGCGGAGCAATTTTAACCGTTCTGGCAATTGAAAAGGCAAGTGAAGCTCTGCGGAAACCGCCTTAATTCTGGAGGATCCAGTCTCCGAGCTTCGAGAGCCTTTGCTACACTTACGAGGCCATCACTGAGGAGTTCAGTACTTGAGATACAGAAAACGGCGCAGCCCAAGATCCTGGCAATCACCCCAGGCCCTTTGAAATCGATCTCTGCGTGCCACTACTCCCTCTTTGCACTGCAAGGCAAAGCGGGGTGTAGGAAGCAGCGGCTCTGCTGGACGTCCTGCGCGGCAGCGCAGGCTCCGTGGAGGCCGCAGCGCCAATGCCTGGGGAGCACCATCTTCTGAGAGGCACGAGGACGAGGCACATGCTGGCAAGACTCTGAAGAACACACCCTCGAAGTGTGCGCCTTGTCCGGCTTTGTGTCATCTCCCTCCTGGCCATCGTCAAGGAGCCTCCCGAGCGCCGCGGAAGCACGCCGCGTCTTTCAACCCAGAACCACCGCACCTGCTCTCGGAGTGCAGCCCGATCAGACGTGCAAGCTGGTGGACCACCTGACGGAAAAACGCGCCAAATCTTCGTCGATCGCAAACTTCCCTGCTACAAGTACGTAGAGGTAACACCTTTCAGCACCTGTCACCACAAGAAGACTGCATGTGGCGATGCCGAGCTGCCCCAACTTGCCGCGCCTTCCGCTCCGTGGCATTCAGCCCCATCAGGAGCATCTCATCGGCAGGGGGCGCACCAGCCTTGAGGCTCAAGGCTCACGCGAGATGACACGGGCAGTCACTGGCACTGAGGAGCAGACTTCTGTGGCCAAGTCGCCGTCCGTCCATAAGAGCTGCCTCACGCTCGCGGCTGCTCGGGGACCAGAGACAGTGGACGACGATTCAGAAAGGAGGAGAGTTCATGGAGTTCTGAGGCACTCACCACATCAGCAAGTCCTGCCGGCTGGACTCCGCACGCCGATTCGCGAAAGAGAAACCCGTGACAAAAAGAAGCACAAGAAGAGCATACAAGGATGCAAAATTGCAAACTCTAATATGTCATGAAAGATAACATCTAAAACTACGAGGCAGGGGCAGCCTGCTGTTCCGCAGGAGAGACCCTTGCGCTCTAATTGCGCTCCTCTGCTTCCAGGCCGCGCGTCTTTCCAAACGCCACCTGAAGCTGGACTGGAGCAGAGTTCCGTCGGGAAGGGCGGGAGACAAGCGTCTCCACTGTCTGCCGTCCTTCTGTGTAGGTGCCTGTGGCATGTGAACTACAGCCAAGGTCTGAAAAGTCTTTCGATGCTCCCAAGCCCGGACTTCGACTGAACTACGATCGCCAGCTGGGGCTGTGTTACCAAGCAGAGATGAAGCCCAACCATGAGGCAAACACGACTTCCAGATTCACATGTGCTCTAACCCTAGTTCAATCTGTTGGAATGGCAACAAACATCGAGACACAGTGCCCCATGTGCATGCCACTTGTAGCCATCAAGCCATGTTCTGCTGAATAGAGCAGTACTTTCACCAGCGAGGAGCTTCATCCACCAATAACTCCAGCAGGTAGCTGCGACAGAATTACGAAGTTTCACGGTTCGTGCTGTGACTTGGAGCCGCTTTACCTTGCACGTAGACACGCTTCGCGTTTTGAGAGCGAGGCCTCTGTCAGCTCCTCCAGCTTGGCTATCAGCTCCTGGCTGCGGCGGTCCGAGCTCTGTGCAAATGCGTAGGCCTGCTTCGGATCTTTACAACACAAGGGCAGAAGCCACCCGAGTGGCTCTCTGCGGCTCGAGGTCGGAACCACCCAGACCAACTTACACAGTGTGCTCCACATTTGGCTCAATCAGCACCATGCCGGCGAAATGCTTGTGCACAAGTTCTTCTGGCTGCCACAACGGCTTTGCGGTCTCAAAGAACATGCCTCCGTACAACTGTCACAAGTGGTGTCTACAAAGCTTGGGACTTTGTTGAAATCTGTGAGGCCCCGCACAAAAGAAGCCTTGGACGTATCAGTCCTGACGCGTAGGCATAGCAAAGCTTTGCTAGTTCCATCAAGGCAGGCCGGGGATCGAAGATGCTGACAAAGAAGAGGACAGCCAAAACAGCATTTGATAAGAAAAAGCTGAGCCCCCTACGGCCGGTGGAGTCGACCGGCATACGGATTAGAGCGAACGAGACCTGAACCTCCATGTTGACTTGAAGCCCGCCTGTGAGGACTGGCTCTGAGCAAGGAATTGCCAGTTCTCGCGGAAAGCGCGGCGGACCTGCACACACCCTTAAATATCCCTGGATTGTAAATCGGAGTGATCCTGGCTTCTTCTTTGTCCTAGCCTTTGCCGCAGGCAATCCTAGCTTTGATCGCCGACGTCCAAAAACCGCAAAGCCCCAAAGGACTGTCGCTCCAGACCTAGGTTGATATTGCTTTCGACTCCGTACAGTCCAGCCTGGCGGACCTGCTCCTCAGCCTCCCAAACGTCACCCTGGCGGAGACTTAGGCGCTACATTTCTGTAGACTCCGCAGCTTTGCCCCCCCGAGGAGGAAGCCGAACCCTGCGCGGTCCCAGCCTTGGGCCTAGCCCGCTTCGGCGAGCGGCCGCGGCTTTCGGCAGCGGCCCAGGCCTCCAGGGCGTTTCCGGGGCCTCACACGAAGGGCGTGTCGGACGTGGCGGCGGCTTCACCCCAAGCCCTGGCCCTGGCTTCCTCCGCGTCCGGGGGCCTTCGCACTCGAGGAGACGGTAGAAGGCAGAAGGCCGCACCCGAGGTCGCTCCTGGTGCTCTACCAGCTCTACCCACCTGTTGAAGAGTCTCAGCGAAACAAGCCGGCAGCTGCGAGCAAATCCGTCCTCTTCCACACCATCCACATCTTCTGGCAGGTTCTCCTGGTGCTTCTCTGGTGCTCTTAGCTCAGCTCCGAAGCTACAGCAGTCCGGATATGAAGGATGCAAGAGAAGATAAGACCAGAGCCTCGCCTCGCCACGCGCTGACATCACACGCCTCAAGGTGTTGACCTTTGGGCCGATGCAGGGAAGCTCACCCGTCAGTCTTTTGCCTACTTTGGGAAGCTTCGGAGCTCCAAGTCTCGCGGTCCTCATGATAGAACAGGTCTGCGAAAGCAGTGTAGGCAGAAAAGTAAGGCAGCAAGCGGTACCAAGAGCCGACACAAAGAAAAGAAAGGAGTGTCGCTTGGGAACATCGACACGATGGTCAAAGGCTCGGACCTGAGAAAGGAGAGGGAGAGAAGGAGCGGAAGATGTCGGCAGCAACCGTTGGAGAATAAATGACAGTCGCAACTTCACGGAGACACACTTCGCAACGGTTATTTCGGGAAGACAAAGTGCATCTTACATCTGGCTCTCTTGAGTGGCCGACAAGATCCACCGAGTGCGTGTACCGGCGGTGCTTTCGACTGCCAGGTCTACCTTCCAAACTGGGGCGAAGCACAGCCAGCATGGCTCTGACGACATGAAACATCGACACCCACAGCACGAATGTCCCCAAATCTGTGGCGATCTTGCCCAGAGCCGTACAATGTGTCTGCAAATGTGGCATCATCCGGCAGTGCATAATCGTGGATCCATTTGCGAACTTGGACGGGCACGATGACGATGATCCATGAGAGCCGAGACCTCCCTGACGACTTCCGGGGTGCAGACAACTCCCAACCCGGACCTTCTTTCGAGCGGCTGCGCAGGGAGTCGCGCTCCTCAGGTCCAGCGACAAAATTGAGGAGAAAAAGGGAGGCTAGCGAGTCCACCGAGTCTGCGAGTGAGCAATCCAGGGAGCGAGCAGTGGCGACGATGAAACCACAAACGCTTTCAGATGGCTTCAGAAGTTGGTGCTTTAAGATCATGCCGCAGTAGCTGTTGCTAAGGGCGCTGCATGCTTGCGGCGCTCATTGCTGCTAAATCGCCAGAAAGAGAAGGGGAATGCTGCTCCTGAGCATGGTTGCAAACTTGCAAACGCGGCACTCGTACGCGCCCAGTGTGTCGCAGAAGCCACCTGCTCGAGGAAGAGGCGCCCTTTGAGGCACATGGGACCTCGGTGCCCATGACTTCAGAAGACTGCGACGCAGGCCCTGCAGGGATCCATGAGGTCCAGACACGGCAGGAACCATTCCGCCAACGCTCGTCTCCGGCACAGAACTCAAGCTCCTGATTGGAATGAGAGGGAGACATTTTGACAAAGTGCGGCCGGCTGATGAAATGCAATTGAGCCGTCCTGTCATCTGGAGCTTGAGTAGATTCATTCTCGACGGTGTCGCTAAACATGTCCTGCCAAAGGGGCAATTGACTGTAAATCCCGACAACCTGCCCCTGTGCACCAAACCAACTTGCTGTCTTCTTAGATTCCAAAAACCCTTCCGTGGCACGCAACAGAATCGGACGCCCATCAGTTCAACCGGGTCCTCTGCAAAAAAACACACACTACGTTACCCTACACTATCCTACAGTACCCGGGTACCCCACCCAGTGCCGGGCCCCCCCTGCATTCGAGCCGAATGGCGGGGATGCAGCTTGGTCATGAGATGCCATGCCACACCAACAGAAGCAGCTCAAGAACAGCGAGCAGGGCCGCCATTTCCAGCTACTGCATCGCTATGCCACAACACCTTCGGCTCCAAGCTCTGCCACCTACACCTTTGGCCGCTGACCCAAAGCTTTCCATAAAACCTGAGAGTCTGCTAGAGCCCTAGAAGTGTGGAACAGCTTCGGGTCGTGCCTGCGCCAGTGCTCGGACCCTGAGTGAGACTGAGCCCTGCCCTAGCTGCCCTGGCTCTCTTCACGGAAGAGAGCGCCTCCAGAGCGGATCCCGGAGTGGCTCTGCCTGCAGCTTGCGATGCTTGCAAGCCCTCGTGTCCCTTGTCTGTTCAGGCGATCACTGCAGTTCGCCTTTCAGGCGGAGCATGCGAACAAAACCCTCCTTCGCTCCCAGAGCGCATCGCGCCTTTGCAGGGGCTCATGGACGCCTCTGCGAGAAGCACAGGAACAAGCAGACCCCACTCCCCGCTCCCAAGGAAAACGGCGGGTGGAGGCTCATAACTCCCCACAACAAGGACGAAGCCAGCCCTGCACCGCTTCCGAAGCGCCCATCAGTGCCTGGGCCGCCGCAGCAACGCATCGCAGTGCCGCCTCTGCCCGGGCACTGAGGCGGCCAAGGCCTCGGATTTCGAAAATGAAATGCATCCAGCTGCGCCCTGCCCCTTCTACTTCTCGTCCATGCAGCACTCGTAATGAGTCGGCTAGTTGCAGTCTCATTCGTTGCCAGTGCTGCTAGTATTTCGAAACTAGTTAACCAGCTCATGCTACATGCATATTGTGGCGGACTTACAGTAAAACTGACTTCACACACTTGCGGCTGTATGCCACTTTTGGCTTTGGCCTCTGCACTATCTCATGAAAATAGAGGCCCGTTGCTACATCTTGCTTGGTGGGAAGTCGTTTTGGGGACGGGCACGTCTTTGAGGCTCCGGCGCTCGGCTTGACCCTCTGCCCGCGCGGCGGACCGCCTGGCCTCCCTGGCCTTGGCTTTCGCAACTGAGCGAGAGGTGTGAAGCTTCCGGCAAAACGGCCCCCCGTGGGCCCCCGTGGGCCCGTGGCCTCTGCCCGTTTCAGGGCTCGCTCTGCGTAGGCCTCCGGGAACTTTCAGCACCGTGGAAGTCACGTCTAGACACGGCAATGCCGGCAGGAAGAAGGGCACGGCCTCTGCCTCGCCTCTCGGGAGGCAGCGGCGCAGGCGGCGGCCCTTTTGGTGCCTGGGCTCCTGGCTGAGGCTGTTAAAACAAAGCCGCCGCTGCACAAACCGAGCCGGATGTTCACCTTCACAGAGACCTGGAACGCCTTGCGGAGCTGGTCCTGCGACCAGCTGTTGAAGATCTGGCCGACATGTCGGAGTCCAGCTTCTCGGACGTCTGCTACCTCGGCACAGAGCCTTCCCTGTCTAGCGACCTTCGTCTATCTGGAGATGGCTTACCAAACCATGCCTTCCACAAGTGCCGGGCCGTTCGCCGGAGGAAGATTGCCTCGAACGAAAGCTGATTCTCGCTGCGAACGCTGCGAAGGCTTCAATTATTGACTGAAGCCTCCTCCATCGAGTGCACGGTCTTGCTGTGAAGGCGATGGCCCCCGGTGCAGCGTCGGGCATCAAGGACAGCCTGCTGCGCCAAGAACGGGCGGCAGCAGTGCAAGCAGCAGCAGCAGCAGCTCTTCCCTTTGGCACCCCGGCCTGATAGCAAAGTCCAAGGCCACCCTTGGCAGATTACTGCAACTGCCGCAGGACGCAGGTTTTCTAGCGGCAGAGGACTGGCATTGGCTGGGACGATATTAAACTTAAAGTCTGGAAAAGCCTTCTAGCTAAATCTCCCAAGCACAACCCCTCTGCCTCAAAGACTTAGTCCTCGTGCGTTCCCAAGCACGACTCACGACTCCGGAATCCACCCGAGAGTCCGGCGCTACCTACCTGGAAGGACGAGCCTGATTCAGTCGAGTTCGCGAGCGGCGCCCTACAGTTACCTGCCTATGGCCTATGGACATGGGACACAGAAGCATCACACATTTGCACACACAAGGGCCTGTCCTGCCACGTGCACTGCTCGCAAAACGGCTTCAGCATCGCCTCCTTTGCACTGTGAGCAGGAGCAAGTCGCGCGGTCGACAAAAGCATGCAACAAGTCATCTACGGTCCATCCAGTTGTCGCAAGTGTAGAAACCTCAAGCCTGTGGAGGCTGCGTGCTCTGCGGCGGCGACGATCTCTGCCCGAGCATGCACTGCGATGTCACGGCTCGGCAATCGGCAGGACCTAGCAGCAGCAAATTCCCAAGTCTGTGGTTGTGGGGGATACAGTTCAGACTATACGAAAGGAGCGGGCGCGATCGCAACTCCGTGAAGCGTCAGCCGCACCTGCAGTTCAGATTCAGCAATGAAGATCCAGGGCTTTCTCGTGTCGGCGCGCACCCGGTGGTACCAACCGGATGTGGTTCTCACCTGATGGCACATGATGGCAGCTGTGTATGCGGATGACATGCAAAGTCCGAACCGATTCGAAAAAGGCCCAGGCTGACCAAACGTTGCCACGGAGCGTGCGCCGGACCTCGTGACGGACCGTGACGGAGATAAGGTGCTCACGAGATGCAGAATTCTCTAGCAAGTGCGGCGGGTCACGTTCTTCCCGCCCCAATTGAAAAAGCTCTGATCGAAACAAGCTTCGCAGCTCTTTTCCAGTGGGCGCTGTCACGCGCGCTGACTCACTGGTGCTGGGGCTGCTGGGGTTTGCTCTTCCCTGCCTGACATTGCAAGAGCTTCTTAGCTGTTCCCTGGTCCGCCCATGTCAAACCATGTGTCAGTGTGCGGATGCAGCGCCTGCAGGCGCTCCAGCTGGTTTCGTGCCTCGGACTTCGGGAAGTTCCTGCAGTTGGGGGGTTCTGTCATCAGGATGTTGGCATGTCTTCTGTCTTCGACATCATGAGTCCTGACATCGTAGTAGCTCGGCGCAATCTCCAAGAGCCATTCACCTCTCACCTGAACAGACACTGCAACACCGGAGAGACTCACGAAAGAGCTCGGCACCGCCATGGACAACAGCAGTTGCCCCGCATGCCTGGGTCACAGTTCGGATGAAGTTTTTCGACGTCAGCACGAACTCGTGGTAGAGGACCTGGCCCGTCACATCTGCAGGCATAAAATCTTCACCTGAGGCCCTCCAATAAGAACCAGACCCATTCCGGCTTGTGCGTGATGCCCGTGGAAGGATGCAAAGCCACAACCTGGTTGTCTCTGACCTTGCGCCAACACATCGCGAGCAAGTTCCATAACTCATGAGGAGGCGCTCCTCGTTGCTCCCGAGTTGCAGTGAGGTAGTGGTTGCTCTTCTCAAGGTGGGCCACCTGCATGAAATAGCCGGCCACCAGGCAGCGTCCTCAGCTTTCGAAGTGGAGAATGTGATCTGACGTCTTCTTGTGGCTGGATCATACAGTGATGCTTTGTTGATGCTGATCCGACTCTTAAAACGCTTTGGCAGCAGAGAAGCTGATGTTGGGATAATACTCCTCCACTGGTGCTGTGTGTCAAATCACCGTGGGAGAAGTAATAAAAGGGCTGACAAAAGTCCTTGTCCCTGAAGTCCGTGCTGAGCATCTGCCTTGCACAGTGTTTTGGTACAAGTAGCGCACGGTTCCCTTGAAAACGTGCTGAGGACGCCGCAGGTTCAGGCGCTCCATGGTTCGCTTGAGCTGCTCACGCACGTTCTCCGCAGACTTCATGGACCTTCGCTTCAGGTAGTGAGCCCGCCCTGGTCTCAGACGAGCGAAGCCGCGGCGTCGCGCCTCGCGTTGATGTAGTTGTCGAAGCAGAACTGTGTAGGATCTGCGCCCTCGGTGAGATACTGCTTGTACCTCGGATTTGTTCACTGCGGTCTGGGACAAACCGGCCGGACAGCTTGAAATACCACACCCCCTCTAGAAGGCGAAGATACGCATGGAAAACGTTGAGGAGGGTGAGGTGATCTCCATCCAAATGCGTGAAGCGGCCTTTGGCATCGTCAGCTTCCTTGGAGCCCCGATAAGACAAGGAAACGAGCGGGCCGTCACGGTAGTAGGGTGAAGGAAAGCTGACTGTCAGCAAAGGCGCTTTGCCGAATTCTTTCGGTCTGACGAAAACGTTGGGCACCGAAAGCATGGCGGAGATGGACAGCATCTCGTTGCTGCACTTAAACTTGGGCCTGGGATGTGGTCTCAGGTGCATGCAAGGCTTCATTCTTTTTCAATGCAAGTGTATAACAGAGCTGTACTGTAACCGTCGTCGAAAGCCCAGAGAAGCAGGTGCAAGGATCGGCTGAGGATGTTGGGGCAAAGCGGTTGTGGGAATCGGGTGTAGGCTTCAGGCTTTGAAGAGTATAAGGAGTTTCTGAGGTCCTGACTGCAAGGCCAGCGGTCAATATTTCAACTGAAAAGGTTGCGACGACCCTTGTACGCATCTTGAATTACAAGCCATAGCGCCTGTGGGCTGTAGCATACTTCGAGGCAAGAGGTCATCTGTCACGAACAAGCGCACTCAGGCATCGACGAGTCGATGAGCATCTTCGCCTTTGCTTTACGCAATCGATGTTTGCACCAGCGGCTCACTAACTACCACACAAGCTTATCTATCAGTACTGTGATGTCCCAGACTGCATCTACGCAACACGGCCGAAACCTACAGGGCGAATCATGGCGAATCCATACCCTGCATCGCAGCACCCCGAACCCTTTCGGTCGACAAAACCCCGTCAGGTCATTCTGTGCAAAAGTCGAGGCAAGGAGCCAGCTGCGGGTCCAAAGGGAATTCTGCCGCTTGATCTCCGGCATCTGTGAGATCCCCATCCTTTGCAACAAGCTCTAGGATTTAGAGACATGTGGTAGCCCAGAGCCAAACTTGCTTATCGCATGTTACAACTCCGTGCTTCTCAAGCCAAATACGGGAATCAAGGGAACATGGCGCCCTGTAATCCCTGTGGCTCTGTATTGTAGACCTTTAAACTGTATGGACAGTATGAGTATGTAACGCCAACGTCCACCTTGAAATTGCCGTGGCTTCGTATTGCAGACTTTGTAAGTTGCATTCGCTTTTTGAGCGTTGTTTTCGAAACCAGCGTGCCCGTTTTGCAGTCCTTTATCTGCGGACAGCAGAAGCCTTAGCATTCTGAACCCTTCTCTGTGCCAATCTTCATGGCAATGCACAGCATGGTCCAGAGGGCCGGCACGGGTCAAGCCGTGCTTGTTTCGTGCAGAACTTGCGCAGAGGGGATAGGGAGAAAGCTTCTACGACTCGTCTCGATTTGTGAGTGCCATCCTTGCAGATAAGCGAAGCTCGAGTTTTGACTGACACCTTTGCACAGGCCAAACTATCTGTCGTGTGTGGTTAAAGTCAACAGCCCTCTCAGGTTTAGGTCTCAGCTTAGGGTTTGGAGGGGTGTTGCGGCTCGGTATACTGCTTGAATTGCGAGTGCGATCCCGGAATGGTTGGACCTCGGAGGGTTGGAGTTAAAGCCAGTGGGTGAAGTGCTGAAGGTTGGGCGGCAAGTTGGGATGTTAGGGTAGTCGTCATGAGATTGATGAGAGCGCCAGCAACAAGGGTTGGCGGGGCAAGGGACCGGGGGGAATTGCTCGCCCGCGAACCTGGGAGGGTGTGGCTAGCGGGGTAGGGTGCGGGGATGGTTTAGGGGTGGGTTGGGGTAGGTGGTTGTGGTGGGATTGGATGAGTGGGAGTGGAGTGGAGAAAAGCGCTGTGATGATGAAGGGTGTGAAGGGATTGGGGTTGATGGTGATGATGATGGTGGACGGATGGGAATGGGATTGGGTGGAATAGGGGTGGGTGAGATGGGGTGAGAGGGATGTGCCCGCGAGTTGAGGTGGATTGCTCGCCCGCGAGACTAGAAGGCCCGACCACACATATGGCCCAAGGCCCCGCTGACTGAAACCGGGTTCTTTTTTCATTCCCGGCTTGCCGTGCCACAGGGGTGTGTCCTTCTGGCATGCTGCGGCAAGCCGCCCGCCAAAGTTGTGGTTTTGACGTGTGCGGCTTGCTGCTCGATCCCTTTAAAGCTCAGGGTTTAAGGGTTTAAACTCAAAGGCAAACTGATATTTTCGTTTAACGCTTAAGAGTTTCAACTTTAAAGACAAGCCGTCTGGATTTCCGTGCCAATCCGTGCCGGGAGGTGCCGTCGCTGGGGCAGCTTCGCTTAGCTGCTGGCTTTTCTAGTACAATACTCGATTTGTCTGATTGTGTTATCGCTGCACATTGGCCATACTGAGTGTCTGCAGATGTTTTCAGTTGTTCGATGATCCTCGAAGCATGTTGAGGTTGGGTCGCAAGATCGAAGGCTGCGGCAAACACATGGTGACAAGCAGGCCTCAACAGCTCTGCTGTATCCCCCTTGTCAAGCCATGCCTTTTGACCCAAGTCCCACACAAGAAAGCCAGCATCACGAGCATTATAGGCCCTCCCTTTGTCCGAGCTGCCTTCCACTCAACCGAAGCCTTTTAAAACAGGATCCGAGTTAGCACGTGCGTGTTCCCACCAAAGCATTAGTAATGGCTCGGAAAGACAACAGATTTTTTGCATGTTGAGGGTTCTCACACACCCCCTCCGAACCCCCCTTGAACAGGTCAGCGAATCACAGTATGCGCCGAACGCCGCGAGGGAATTTTCGTGAAAAGGGAATACTTCGACAGCAAACAACGCATGCTGGGATGTCAAGACCCGGGAATCAAAATGGGTAATGCTTTCGGTCCGGGCGACATCGTTAAGATGATTCAGGAAGTTCAACATCTCCAGCGCTCGCCTCGGCGTGACAGCACAGGCACATTCTCTACTTCCGCTTGCCAACCCGTCTCCACGTGCCCAATTGAAGTTTCTAAGGCACATCATGGTTTCAGGCGCGGGAGGATCTAGGAAGTCGAAGTGGACGAGGTCGTCGATTCCCAGCTTCTTGAGCGTCAGCACCTCGATCCAACGGCATAAGGACACCACTGCAGAGGCTCGTCGTCGGCTGAGGGAGCCACCACCACACCCAGGTTGGACCGCAGGATCTCCGGGTAAGTTTGCTCTGCAAGCTCTGTGGTGAAAGCCTGCGAGCGACTTGCTACCTGTTTGTCAGATTCTCTAGTCCATTGCGAGCGGTTTGCCACCTCTTTGTCCCTTTATGTCCCTTTGCAGCGGTTTGCCACCTGTTTGTCAGGGTCTCTAGTCCCTTTGGAGAGGCTTGCCACCTGTTTGTCAGATTCTCTGGTCCCTTTCGAGCGGTTAGCCACCTGCTTTGGACCTGTTTGTCAGTCTCCAGTCCCTTTCGCGCGGTTTGCTACCTGTTTGTCAGATTCTCTAGTCCCTTTCGAGCGGTTTGCCACCTGTTTGTCAAATTCTCTAGTGCTTTTCAAGCAATGGTTGCGCATCTTACAGAGTATGCAGGCTAAGATTGAAAGGATACTCTGCTGGTCAGATACCACCAACAGTCAGCACACCGGCCTTCTCTGTGTACAGACCTCGGCTTTGGAAGCGAGGAGACCAAGCCCAGCTGTCTGAGCAGACATGAACCTGCTCTGCAAAGCTTCTGTCGACGAGATTCGGAAGCACTTCCCCGGGCGTGTGCGGCCAGCTCGTCCCGCCCGCTGCGCAGCTGATGCCTCCACAAGGATCAGCAGTTCAAACAACTCCAAAACTGAACCAGCACACTGACTTACCTAGCGTTGCTTTGCGAACCAGCAGATACCAGTATCTTGCCGGGCACAAAGCCCTCTCAGCACTCTCATCCTGGGACCACTACTCGGTCTGCTTCTCACGTCCTTCAAGGTTCAAGAGGAGATAGCTTAGTAATTCGTGCCTTGGACACCGGGGAGACCAAGAGAGACTCCACGCGGATTCGTGGATTGTAGACCTGCCCAGACGTGGTGCACAAAAGTGATGCACTGCGAATGCCGGAAGGGGGAAGACACCAAAATCCTGAGGGACAACCGTTGGCCCAGCTTGCTGGGAGAAGTTTAACAGCCCATAAACTGCCCATGTAAGAGGTGCGCAGACTCGTTCTCTAGCGAGTGGCTTTTGAGTAATAGGGCCATGCCCTGCACCCTACCCGGCAGGATGGATGGCGAAGTGTTGTGAGTCGGTGGGTTGCGCGTGTGTGTGCGAGGCCATTGTGAGTAGTGCATTACGTGTATGGTTCGTGCTGAGGGCAATGAGCACTGTGAAGTGCGGCAACGAATGCTGAAGTACCCCAAGTAAGAATTCGTGGCGAACATATTTCTTCGTTCGCCTGTTCACGATTTGTTCAGATCAGTGCCCCAGCAGGGACAGAAAGCCTTCTGCTTTGCGAAGCCGGGGTCGACCACGTAGACAATTCCATCAATTGTGATGGAGGTCTCAGCAATGTTGGTCGCCACGACCACTTTCCTGCGCTAAAGGAACTGAGTCCGCAAGAAGCCGGGATCGCGGCATTTCTCGCAACTCTGCCTATGCCGCCTATGCCCTATGCACGAATGCACGAATCCCAACACTTGTCTGCCAGGGCCCAGCACCTGCCGGGTGGACCCCCGGGAAAGCGCGGCCCTGGAGGCGGCTCGAAGATTCGCTGCTGCTGCAGCGGAGGCAGAGAGGAGTACAAAGGCACGGCCACCTCAGAAGCACAGAGAGCTGAGATGCTGAGATTAGCCTTTGGCAGTCTTTGCCTTCGGGGCGTGTGTGACTTGACAGGCCCTGAATTATCAGAAAGGGAGCCAGCTCGCCATTCTCCGGATTCCTGGAGCTCTCCTTCCGCAGCTGACCTCGGCCAGACTGGCACGGACTTTGACTCCGGAGATACGCACCTGAACAGTTAGACACCTGAAAATTCTCCGAGTCCACTGAGCCCGCTACGGCAAGCTTGCTCGATCTCCTCCTCACCGGTCAGGAAGAGGAGGATATCTCCCTCGGGCTCCGAGTTGTGGATCCTGGCCCGGCTGCACTTCGCGGCTTCACAGACGCGGAGAGCAGTGCTTGCAACCCGGTCACTGCACCACTGTGCGCATGGCCGCTTCAAGGTAATCCTTATAGCGACCAGGCGAACAGACGCAGGCACAGCACAGACCATGCACACACACACACACAAAACAACGACAGCCTCTAATTTCATCTGCCCCGAAAGCCTAGGAGAACTGGCAAATCACAGCGGCTCTCTCCGGCTCCGAGGTATAGAAGATCTCCACGGGATGTGTTCGGCCAGGGATGTTGAGCAGGGGCGCATTGTCCTGCACCACAAAAGCTGCAACCGGGAGCTTCGTTGCAAGGCCGAGGCCCGGACGAAGTACCCCTGCATCTTCTGAGCATCCATCGTTGCTGACCTCTACAGGAACTGAAGCTGTCAGCCTGGACGGCGAGACCTGGTGCTTCCAAGAGGCATGACCACCAACTTGAGATCTGGTCTCCGCCTCATAACCTCTTTGATGAGCCCAAATAGAACCTGGCAGAATTGGACATTGAACCAATATAGAAACATGCCCTGCCCTGCGCAAACAATGTATTCATGGAATGCTTTCTTGTGAGCGGCGTCTGTTGCCAGAGTTCGTTCGTGAGCTTCATCCAAGATGATTACACTGTACTTCGTGAGCAGCGGATCTGTCATGGCTTCTCTCCTCGGGGGTTGGATGACTTCTCTTGCAATTGAAGCCGACGCACCGCGGTGACAACTATGAACCGACCGAGATGCAGCAGCATACCATCCTTGGCTGAATCAATAAAGGTCAAGGCTGCTCGGTCTACAAGAAAGGGCTACGAGCCCGAAACTCACGGTTTCAGCAAGCTGCCGTCAGGAACTTGAGGATGGTCTCTGGGGAGGTCTTGTCCTGCATGATACGCAAACTGACAAAACCCACGTGAAGGTAAAGCATCTGCTTCCACACAATCCTCGAAGCGGATAAGGTAGCCAACGTGCGCACCAAGGAACGTGTCTAGCTCATCTGCTACTCTTTGGGCCACCTCTGATGGCAAGGAGCAGTGAAAGAATCCAAACAGCCCCTTCTCGCTCATCATGCAGACGACCCATCAAAGGGCAACTCCCCGCCGAGGCACACTCATCGCAGCCACTCTCCGAGGCTGCGTGCAGGCAATACCTTGCTCCGCTAGCTCAACTGCCAGTGGTTCCCTGCTTTCGGCTTCATAAGCTCTCTTGCATTCATAAGCTCTCTTGCACTATCTTGCACTCTGGTCTGCATCCTGCATGCCGGCAGAAATCATCTTTCGTGCAGCTACGAAGGGTATCATTTAGAGCAGCACCGCTGGCTTCGGACATCACGAATTGAACTGGTGCTTCTTCCGTTGTATTTTTCAACCTAAGCGCCTTGTCGGTTGCCGTCAGAGATGTCCAAAGCAGACCGAGCTGGGTGCAGCCGAGGCAGCCTTTTGATTTGTCTCCCTGCATGTGGTAACCAGCCTGAAAATGACCCAAGGAGGCTATGGTGGTGTGCATGCTACAGACATAATGCTAGCATGTAAAAACGACTGCGATATGTATACATAACCATTGACACATGTACCAAAGCATGAATGCCTGCACGTGCACACACAAGCACACAAAGGTACATATATGCATATATATTTATATACATATACATATACCTATACGTATACCTGCACCTATGCATTTACATATACCTGTACCTATACCTATACCATGTAGTCCATATAAACGTTCCATGTCGAAGGTTACAATCAAACATACATAATACATAATACATATTACACATTACATATTACGCATAACATATACATAGATAGATCGTATGATATTGATTTTGCTACTGCTACTGCTACTGGTACTGATACTGTTACTGATACTGATTGTTGACTGGTTGATTGATTGATTTCATAGATTGAATGATCGATCTCTTCATATTCACCTATACATGTGTGTAGAAAAAATGTATGTGTAACTCATCCAGACTCCAAGCACCAGCCTCGAGGAGGAACTGCGGCAGCTGCGTAGTCTTTCCCGAGCCGGTCTCGCCCACCAGGACGACAGTCTGGTTGCGCTTGATGAGCTTCAGGAACTCCTTCCTTCCACAAGCCGTGGAGTTTCGGACTCTGAAAGAGGTTAGGGCTTTATTGGGAGTAGGCTTTCGGAACCCGGAAGGCTAGGGTTTTGGTCAGTCATTTGAATGCGCGTCCCTCCTCGCTTCCCATGCAGGGAGCTTCTGACGCTTCTCCAAGATCTCATAGTATCCTTAGAGGCATCGCAAAAAAAAGCCGGCTGCATTCCCAGTTTAAGCTTGAAGCTCTCGATGCCAAGCTGCTATCTGAGTATTCCCTCTCTGTGAGAGGGTTTATCTTGGGTTCATTGTCAGTCTTCGCCTTCCATCAACACGCACTAGTCCATGCACCAGGTTCTTTATCTTGCAGAAAACAAGTCTTAGGCTTATGGGATCTCCAAGTGTTTTGTGAGCGCCGGCGTCCGGCCTTCTTGGCATCCGGAGTTTCGTAGAGCTCGGCGGGTCTCTTAACCGTGCCCGGAACTTCTTCGCCAGCCATGGCGAGGAGAGATGGCCCAGCCGGCCTACGCGTCCGACCCCTCTTCAGCCTGCATCAAGCTCTCTTAACTCGTCGATTCCCAAAGGAATTCTCACGTAACGGGCTTTTCCCTCTACTTTGATGGATATCTGAAGCGACAAACAACATCCTGTCGATGCTCTTCTTTGGGAACCAAACAGGCCGCTAGATCTTACTTTCGCACTGCGTAAGCCTCCCGCCGTGTGCATGTCTCATCACTACGACAACTCTTCGGAAGCAGCAGCAGTGAAGAAAAACTACGTGGTCACACTGTGTCAGGTCCAACCTACCGCTAAACAACAGCTGCAAAGTCGAACTATGCAAGTGACAAAGCATTCAGCTCAAGCCCCAAGCAGATTGGGACCGGCTCCTGGACAAGAGTCTTCAGAGGGTCTCTAGAAGTGCGGGACGTCGCGGTACTTGCGCCCTGAGAACTATTCAAGTCCTTGGCCCCTTGTCGAGGTGTCTTTGCTGGGCCTGCGTGCTTGTGTTTGCGTCCAGGCTCCATACACGCAGCACACGCATGCGACCGCCTCCCGAACAGAAATGAGCTCTAGGCGCAGGCCCTGCACAAGACAGGTGTGGCAAGGCCAGTAGCATCCGCAGCTCTGCCAACAAATCCAACACTGCGCCTTGCTGAGGCTCGCAATCGTCAGCCGGCGCTGATATGGCGAAGCTTCAGCCAAGGCCTGGAAATGACAGCTCATAAGAACCAAGCAACCGGACTTACCAGAGCTTGCCACAAAGCTGTGACAGCAGGGGGCTTCGTTTCAGTCTTGCCTGAGCGCTACCACAAGTAATAATTGGTTTTCTCATGCTTTTCCTTTTGGACACCGAGAACTGATGCAAGAGGTGCCTTGCAAAGCCGAAGGCTGGCTTTTGCAAGGCTCTTCCTTGCCTGCGACCAGTCAGTATTGACAAGCAAAGAAAAATGACGAGTGATTGTTTCTGGACGCAGGCATGCCTTCTCGGCAGCACCTCGCCGTCGGCCAACAGGAGCTGCCTAACATGGCTCACCAACTCTTTCCTCCCCTCCACTCCATTCACATCCTACAGCAGAAGCGGAGGTGAGAAGTGCCTGCCGCTTGCACTTGGAGCACCTTCCCCAGAATCGACATTCGCATGAACATGTTGGCCAGGGACTTGCATACAGACTCTCAACGTGCAGACTCGTGCGCTACATTCACACCCAGGGCCTTGGCCTTGTGCCCGCCAACGCAAACTTCGTATCGAGTTGCATCCTCAGGTTGGGCCGTGGACAGAGAGGTCTTTTGAAAGGCAGGGACAGTGGCATGGACATGACCGGCAAGGATTCAAGCACCAAGCATCTTGGGTTGCGCCATGGAGCGCGTAGCCCGGGAGAGCCTGACTCAGCCCTCCCGGGCCTCGGCGTCAGGCAAAGCTGAAAAATTCCGCCAACAGAAGTACCAACTGTTTTGGGCGAGTCGAGAATCCTGGCATGTCCGTCGTATGCAGCTCAGTCCGAGGCGTAGAGATACGCTGGATAGTAATAATATCGATAGCCTGCAACGACCAACACAATCGCGAGAACCGGGACAGGCACACGACCAGATTGACTGGCGCATCTTTAGCCGATCCTACCTTCGTAATAGAAGTCGCTGTTCATCTGCACGATCTGGCAATGACCTTCAGCGGTAGTCCGCTTTGCGAACTTGAAGCTTTGCCACCACAGGTGCTTTCCCAAAAACATGGGCCGGTCACAACCAAGGCTGCGACTGGCTTCACCGAGCAAGACCAAGCTGTCCAAATTCATGGCAGATTCGAACGCAAACATGGCGGATAATGTCACCTGAGCTGCTGGGCTTCGCTGTCGCGCAACAACGAATTTCGTTGTGGCAAGCCTGGGCACTGAATTCGTGCACAGAGCAGTGCTCCGTGAGGAAGCTGAGAAGCTGGCAAGCCCACGGATGGGGCGCTGGAGCGTTTCGCAACTGTGATCTGAATGGCTGCCACAATTTCCATTCAATTTTTCTTGCTTTATGCAAGCAAAATACGCGTATCTACTGCAATCGCTGCAGTGCAGGCGATCATGCCACATCAACACAGGAGCCAAAGCCATGGTGTGCCATCGAACCAATGGCAATAAAACCAGGATTTCAAAACCCGAATTTTATCGTGCGACGAATATAAGCAACATGGAAAACTTCATCTTTTCACATTCGCCAAAACCCTCTGCGACATGAAATTGCAAGAATCCAAACGTGCCATGACAGATTCTGAAATTCTTGCTCAAGTCAGCTTACGGCTACATGCATTTTCATGTGTCCAACACCAAACAAAGCGACACAAGCTGGCCCATGATTTTCACGGCATGTAATCTGGGACCCATCAAACTCCAAGCCCTAAGGTGCTATTCGATTTTCAATCTAATACATTCTGGCAATTGGATGCAACACTGGTTCCATGTCGATCATTATTGTTTGCTGTCAATGTGTACTTGTACCCCGAAGGCTCAAAATTTCCTTCGCCCGGAAGGCCTTAGGAGAGTGTTAGTGTACGGTCAAAGGGAATCATAGGGAATCCACCACGTGAAAGACGAGTGGCCGTCATTTTGGTCCGCACAGCCGGATGTTGCACAGTGAGATGGAAACCTCCAAAATGGAGAAGCCGAGGGAATCCTTCCCCCAGCATATATTCTGACGGGTTGTTTTGAACAGACCTTACCACCAAAAAAAAACTGAAAGGGTGGGTTGGGTGGGACACGAAAAGGGACTAAGAGTCCCCTCCAAACTGATCCACAATGTACCGGAATGGAACATATCGTTCGAGCTGACAAGGAAGCATTCAGCGCATCCAGCAACATGTTCGCACAACTGACATGATAATGACTGACATGCAACACTCGCACACGGATGTGTTTCGATCGAATGATCGGAGCGGATTTCCCATTCGGCGAAGGGCACATGCTCGAATGTTGATGCTGCAACGCCTTTGGCGAAAGCAGCAATGCGCAGGATTTCTGAATCGAGAATGTGCCGATCACCGCTTGCAAAACCGTAACCGTAGCCGCTTGGTTCACGGGCATGTGCCCATGGCTGAAATGACCTGGCGATTCATCAGACGCTGAACCTGGAAGATCGGAGGCGTCTTGCGAAGTCTCAACGGAACTAACACGCAACAGCATGACAGAGAATAGGAGCAGGGAGAGAAAGCTCATCAGCAAACTTATGCGACCCTTCCAATGATGTAGTTTTGCGATGCAGCATCACGGACCGATGTGAAGCAAGGCGGATGCGTGCAAGAACATGCATCGTCTCTTATCTTACTAGCACATACTCGCACAGCCCGTGACGAGAGCTATTTTGCTCAGAAAGCAGATCTGCACCGGTTGCGTCGAGCTGCCACTGCGATAAGGAGGACTACGGTGATGCTAAGCTGATGATCATGCGGAGGATGCTGGCGGTGATGATGACGATGATTATGCTGGTGTAGTGTAGTGGTGATGAGGACGATGTCCCTGACATGATGTACTGCTCATGCTCCCTAATTATAACGACGAAAACGACGGCGATGTAGTGGCACAAACACACACCCGGCGGACGGCAGCACTTCGTTGTATCGTGCTGCAACACTCTGCATGCGTCATCCATGCTATGTAGGTGCCAACGCTCAAGCGTCAGATGTGGTTGACCCTTGTGCCGCTGAGGATTTCGCAAGGGGGAAAGCTGTCAGAGGTTCGTGAGCAAGTTGGATTGACGCTTGCTAATGTTTTCCCCAGCCATAACTTTGTGGGAAATGCCTGTGCAGATGTCCCCCCTGCTCGCCCTGGTTCTTGTCGCTCACTTTTGGCTCCGAGGACTGCATTTTCGGGTTTACGGTTTGAGGGTCAAGGTTTGGGTGAGATGTATGGATCTATACAACCAGCTGTTTGGGGTGGGCTTGCTCGTGCGAGGTCTGCATTCGAGTGCGCGAAACGCGATGCGCGACCCGGGCTCAGAAGAAAACCCCCTCCGGACTCGCACACAGAAATTCCGGCCTCGTGGAAGTTCGCCAGCGGCAGATGAGCGTCACCTGGCCACAAAGATTGCGAAGAACTCACCTGGTTCTACAAACCCCATCCCACCACTGACCCACCGCCCAAGGGGAAGAGGAACATGAACTGAGCTGCCAGAACCGTGAGACAGGGCATAACCTCCATCTCACGGTTGTAGCAAGACAGAACAATTCCGACCACAGGGCATGACCTCCATGGAAGGAAATGCCAAAGGTTCCTCACCCCAACCCCCCCGACTGAATCAACACAAATTGGCCGAGGCAAACTGCCCGAAGCTGCCCGGCCTCGCGCTTGAAGAGTCGCTGGGCTTCCGCTGCTGTGCTCTGTCGCAGATTCCTGTCCCTGAGCTGGGCTTCCACTGCCCTGTAGAGCAAGACACATTAGCCGCCCGAGACAAACTGTCAGCCAGCGGCCCAGCCTCGCGGCCTCGCGCTTGATCAAGAATTGCTGGTAATTGCGGATTCCTGTCCCTGAATGTCGGAACTTCACACACCACGGTCGGCGTCTATATCCCAACAGTCTCGTATTGTCCTTCGCAGCTGTGTGAAGCACAGGTGTCCCGGAGATTTGCCTGATACGTCCATCTTTAAGCTTGCTGCGGCAACAAGCCCGACGTCTCGAGGCCACTTGGTTTCATCGAGGATGTGTTCTCCCTGCGGGAGATCGGGGCTGAAGCAACCAAGCCGCTTAAGCCGGGACCACAGAACAACAGCATCGCCGTCTTGAGAATCAACGTGTTCAGCAATTTCAGCTGGCTCTCTGCCACGCAGGCTGGCGGGCATCTGAGCTTGGGGCACCCCAGAAATCGTCTTGATGAGCTCGGGCGCCTGACATGACGAGGGACATGCAGCAATGCAATGCACAGCTGGCCTCCATAACGCACCGAACCCCAACAAAACAAGTTCTTCTGAGCCCGGATTGCACGCGACGCGTGAAGGTGCGCCCGAATGAGAGCGTGCACACAGGCGGGCCCGCGGAGCGACAACTTTTGGTTTGTGACGACACCGACTTCCCGTGTGATTTTGTGGCCGAGATTGGTCAAGGAGAGGAGAACTGTGGGCATCTGTGGGCTGTGCCTTGCTGTGGCTTCGCAGGGCTTGCACCGTTCAGAGCTGCGCAAGCTCAACTGTTCGCCGATGTTCTCCAGCAGGATCCGTTCTTCAGACTGGATTGCCAGCCTGTCTGATGCGACATCTCGAGCAAGCGAAGAGCCTAGGGAAGATGCGTGGCATTCTGAGGAGGCGGCTCCCGCCGTCTGCAAGAAGTTAAAGTCCCAGAGCTTGAATGTTCCTCAGAAGCTGCAGGCGCATAGTTTCGTCGCTGGCGCCGTCCTACTTTCGGACCAACTGCTTATGCCAGAACTTATTAACTGCTCAGATCCGGGCGCATCCGCTGCTCAGTGGCCGTCTTTCCATAGAGCTTGATGCACTTGTGGGCCTATTCAGGTTAAGGATATGACGCCATGCTAGATGACTCTCCCCGTTGCTCCAACAGTCAGACAGCGTCCTGCCTCTCTGCGGATCGATGCCCAGTGGCCATCGCCTGCAACGGACCGAGACTTACACTAAATGCAAAAACAGCCGACTGCTATATACCGTATACGATGACATAATAAAGGGTCAGCAGTTCTGGTATGCGAGAGACGCAACAAGAAGCGAACTTCCAACACCGCAAAAATGTGAAAGCAATCAAAAAAAAACTTCACTAATATTCACAAGCAAGCCTTGCAGTTGCAATGGAAATTCCGTTCTCAACCAACAGACTGCCTGTAGCCAGCAACCTCGACTGTCGAAAGCGCTAAAGTCTGATCTCAAGTCCGGGTTTTCTTCAAGTAGCTGCAGCTTGCTTGGGCAACTGCCTCGGGAAGCTTCTCAGAATTCGTCTGCTGAACAGCAGAGTGAACCGAATCTCTGTGGCCACCACATTCTGTTCTGGACAGTTCTACACCACGCAACACAAAAGGCTACGAGGCGTTTGCTAAGCTGCAAAGCGGAACTCAACGGACAAAGTGGTTTCGCTCACGCTTCTCCCTTTTTTCGGCTTGCCGGAAGTACGACTGCTCTGCAAGGTGAAAGCTGCTCTGCAAGTTGAGAGCATCCGGGGTCTTCGACCTGCCGGATCGAAAGCTGAAGCAGTGGAGCAGTCGAAAAGCCCGTATCGTTCAGCAGAACAACCAAGGAGGTTAAGGTGGAAAGAACAGCAAGCAAAAGCGGAAAGCAGCACGATATGTATTAGCGGGCTATGACTGAAAAGCTCACTGCGCTGAAAAGCTGCCCCAAAAGGTGTGGGCGGGCGGGAAAGTTTTTGCAAAGCTAGCTTCTGTTGCGTGGTGTATGCTTGAACCCAAGCGGGGCCGCGGGTAAGAACTGCCGAAACAACCCTGAGTAAACACAGGAACCGTTCAGGACAGTTCTACACCACGCAACACAAAAGGCTACGAGGCGTTTGCTAAGCTGCAAAGCGGAACTCAACGGACAAAGTGGCTTCGCTCACGCTTCTCTCTTTTTTCGGCTTGCCGGAAGTACGACTGCTCTGCAAGTTGAAAGCTGCTCTGCAAGTTGAGAGCATCCGGGGTCTTCGACCTTCCGGATCGAAAGCTGAAGCAGTGGAGCAGTCGAAAAGCCCAAGCAGGAAACTGGCAAGCCGAAACCTCGCAAACGTAGTGAAAAGCCAAGCAGAAAAGTGAGGTGAGGAAGCAGCAAGCTGTGCTATTTGCGCTTCTTGGAACCACGGTTTGTCGGGCCCAAGCTGTCAGCTGACGGGAGCTGCCATTTTAAAAAGGTGTCAGCGGGAAAGAGTGTCACTTGAAAGCGTATCAGCCAGAACTCAGAAAGCGAGAGCTCGATGCGATTCGACGCGAGGAACTTGTCGGGAAGGTCTGTGGAGCCATCCCAACGAGAAAGCAGGTCTGCATCGTTGTTCTTCTCGCCAGCGATATGGCTGCAGTCCAAAGTGACACCGGTAATTGAGCTCCACATGGAAAGCTTGCGAACGAAAAGATTAAGTGGTACTCTAGATGTGTAAAGCTTGTTACACACTGACTCAGCACCACTATTATCGCTCAAAGCTGGTAATGTCAGAGCCAAGCGGCTTTCCAAAAGGCCAGGAGCACGAAGCACTGTGCCAGGGTCTCGTAGCTGGAGATGTCCAAGTTGGCATCGGGTTGCATTGGCAGACCTAAGTCGAGGAAATCCTTGACCGTGTAGCGGTGAGAGAACCAGAGCAAGCGGCCACATGGAAGGAGGAGCCACCCTCCGACGCCGCAATCGTTGCCTTTACCGAAAGCATCCGCGGCAGACTCCACCGAACTTGTAGGTGGTGGTCGTAATGGCCGTGGCCGCCACTCCCTGGAGCTCAAGTGGGCGAAGAAGGCAAGTGTTTCCCTGCTGGACTCAGACAAGCGCCGCTTAGAGGAAGTGGGGTCTCTGATACGAAGCCACATGCGCTTCGTGCTTACAGTACAGGAACTGATGCCAGGTCATCTTTACTATGCAAAGCTATGTGCCGAGCGGAAAGCAAGGTTGAGCCTGGCGAGATGCTGGTGCCCGGAGGGCTCCCTGTGAAGCGAAGCTTATCGTCCAGGTAGGCGTGGATGCCTGGCCAAGCGCATGGGCTGATGCTGACGTTAGTTCCAAGTGGTCTATGCATGTCATCGTAGAGAGTACATAGCCAGGGGCGTAAAGCCGGTAGCCCATGCAAAATCCACTGAAGCAGACCAAGGAGTTTGTCAAGCTGTTTGCGGCTAACAAGGCGATGCCGTAGACACTCTTCCACCTGTCCAAGCAACTTCAAGCGTTTGAGCTCGGGTAAAGTGTAACAGCCAGCGTGGAAATCTATCTGCCAACCTATCCAGGTTATAGAGGGACCCATCTGTAGTTTGCGCCAGCTAAGCGGTATGTTGAAGCAGGAGCAGAATGCCAACACCAATGAAGCGCTGAGAGGCAGTGCACGAGAGTTTTGCCAAAGAAGCAAATCATCTACGTACAACATGAGGACGTGGGACAGCCAAATAAGTAGATGTAGGCAGCGCACAAAAAAAGCCCCCCAAGCGGGCAAACCAGTGGCTCGAAAAAGTGGCCCCGAAGGGACAGACGCGGTAAAAGAAGAGGCGTTCTTGTTGTCTGAGGCCAAGCAAGCCCCTGTCTTGCTCCCGCACAAGCGATGTTTTGTGCGCCCCTTTCACATCTAAGCTGAACCCGGAAACCGGCTCCTCGTCTTCCCTCGGAGGGTAAGCAGCTTGTATGTCCTGAAGGCTCGGCAGGGAGAACTGTTCAGGAACGTGGCAGTTCTGGTTCGTGTTGCAAATGCTGTTGTCTATCACCAAGCGGGGAGCGCGACCTGGAGCCTTGACAATGTTGACTCGGCCGACTGCAACACGTTCTCGACCCCACCTCTCGTAAGCGGCTTCCAAGCTGGGCACTTCCTCTATGTAGCCGGCAGAAACTTCCTCCTCAATCAGCTCCTGAAGCAGTGCGGGATCAGCTTCGGCTCCCTGCCAGTTGCCTTCACAGACAAGCAGGTCAGCGGTAGCATCTGCATTGTCCGAGTTGCGAGGCCGCAGGGTGTGGCTGCGTGGGATGTCGCCGTCAAAGCCAGTGGGAACCCCTTTTTGCAAAGCGGGGAAGAGAGAAGTATCCTTGTCGCCTAACATAGTGCTTAAGCGTTCCAGCGCAGACAGGCAGTAAGGCTGGCCCTCCTTCACCGAGAAATCCCAGTCCTGGCAAGGAGAGTGGGAGTCTGAAAAGCGCTTGAAGGACGATCGAAGCCACTCTGTTTCTTCCGCCGAGAAAAGTGGGTTATTGCTGGCTTCGGCGACATGTTGCTGAAGACGAAGAGGAATTCTATTCCCAAGCAGCCAAGATTGCCACTCCTTCCGCAGGTCATGCAAGCTGTCGGATTGGTACCTTGGGCCAAGAGACCAGTCCGGCAAGAAGTAGATGCCCCCACCATCCTGTGCGGCCGTGGGCGGTGTAGAGCGTGGCTTTTTGGGAATAGAGGCAAGCGCAAACTTCAAAGAGCAGGGAGACACCGGGTATGAGGGTCTGGCTGAAGAAAAGAGGTTCACTGCCCTGTCTGAAAAGCTGCTGGCAAGCTGGGACGGGTATTCTGCCGTCCTTTGAGACAGGAAATTCCCGCGCTCATCCCTGGCACCTGCGACCGACTGGTGGCCCTCTTCATGTAAGCATGTACCTGCCAGACTGCGGAACTCGCTGTAGCTACAAGCGAACAGCCAAGACTTAGCTATGTCCTGGCCCACTGAACACGCCGGGATATTGACCAGTGAAGCTTGTATCTCGGAAAGCATATCCTGCACGAATGGTTCCAACCAAGACATGGCGTTGGTGGGCTGCTCCAGGGACACATGTGCACCTGAACCGAAGGCAGCTCGAAGCAGGCAGACACAACGGTATAAAAGCTTCTGGCTGCTGTGTACCCTGGCTTGCTGCGAAGCGGTGTTCCCTGGTAGGCCATTCAAATGGTCCGGGGACCGAATAGCCAGGGGGCCACCTGGACGAAGCTTCAGGCGGGAGTCTCCTTGTACGGCGGGGATCCGTGAGCCAAGCGGACAATTCCTGAAAAACACAGCCGAAGGAGGTGGTCGTACGTGTCGTCGTGCAGGATGTCCAGTTGCTCCTCGCCAAGCAGATCAATGGGCAAACAAGTGATGCCACAAGATGACATCGCCGTGGTAAGTGGGTGAGCCGCCCCACAGCATATGTCCAGGAAAAGCTCAACGCATGTTGTGTCCTTGAGCGGGGGCATTACCGGCTGAGGATTGGCGGGGGTTGCAGAGGGGAGTGGGAAGCCCAATGACCGCAAGTGTGCAAGTGACTTCGCATCAAAGTGGTTCAAGTTCTTACAAGTATAAGCGGTCAGGACCCACCTGTCTCCTTGAATGGGCATCGTACAGTGAAGCGATTCACAGCTGAAGGAAAGCGGCGCGTGCCAGGTGTCCCGCAACTCACCTTGGCCGGCGCTTGTTGCGCTCTGGGCCTCAGACGAAGCGTCCATAGGTGTCGGGACCTGCGGCGCCTCCGGGTCCAAAGCGGGGCAAAGCCAGACCTCACCTCCGCTGAAGTTGCCGAGTGAAACTGTATGGTTGAGGGTCCCTGCAGCATTGCCAGCGTCTGTATGCAAGCGGGTGCGAACATTATGGCTGACACAGAGGGAACTCCAGGAGGCTTCCGGAAACTGAAGCTGCATAAAAGCGTTCAAGAATCGGAGAACATCGGAAAATTGTTCTGTGCGCTGGAATATGCCCGACCTTGTACCATTGTCAAAAGCGAAAGCTCCCAAATTGAAATATGCCTCAGAAGCTGCAACGGCGGTGTCGGAGCACTGAGAAGAGGAGGTGAAGGGAGTGGAAAAGTACTGCGCTAGAAGCTCCAAGCAGGTAGCGAAGTCCAGAAACCCTTCACTGAGTGCTGAAGCTGCACAGGACACCGGGGCACTTGCCTTGGGCAGTGTCGAGGTGGCCCCTGCAGAGCCTGAAGGTTGCGCCGGCACACTAAGCGGGACAGCCGTGACCTCCTCAGCGACGTCCCGCTGTTCGCTGAAGTGGGTTTCCCAAAGCGGGGTGGCCACATGCTGAGAAGCCGGGCGGTTGCCCCCGCAAGCTGTGCCGTCACTCTTGGGCACTGCACATCTGTGCAAGTAGCGGCAGGTAGCCGGGTCCTTGCACTGCCCGCTCTGGTACCTCATGCAAAGTGTCTGACGCTTACCGTCCATGAAGATCGTGGAAAGCCACTTGCCGGGGGGAGTGGCTTGCTTGTTGTCCTTGCCCTTGCTGCCTTTTCCGCCCCGCTCAAAGCGTTCGCCCTCGACCTTTGCCGCCACGGCCGCCACCCTTGCCACCGCGTCCGTTGCCCGTGAAGCGGGATTTCCAGCTGTTGTCCGGGTCGAACTTGGGCTTGGGGATGAAGGGCCTCGGCGCGAGTAAGCTGTGCAAATCCGATCGCACCTCAGCCACCTCGTGAAGCGCATCATCCAGCTTCCAATGGTGCACATTGACTAAGTCGGCGATGATTTCCCAACAGCGGCGATCGGCGGCCTGAGCTTCCATCGTAGTGGGTCCTCGTAGGCTGGCGGCGGCCTCGTATTTGGTGAAGCAGATCCTCATGAAGCGTTTGTTGTAAAGCTTCAGAGAGCCCAGGCGTGCGCCTTGGCAAAGCGCTATGGCATTCGCCGCCAGTGACAAAAGCTGGGTGACAAGGCCAAATGAAGCGGGGCCTTCATGCATGTTTGAAGCCCTCTTAGTCCGTATACGTTCAAGTTCCCAGTCAAAAGATATAGAGATATAGAGATATAAGTATATCCGAAAGATATTCCAAAATGGAAACAGACGGAATCGAAATATAATTCCATTCCGAAAGATAGAGAAATGTGCACGCACCAAACCGACATGTTTTCTCGAAAGGAGATGCCGAGTCAACGATCGACCAACCCGACGAAACCCCCAACCAATGCAGCAAACGTTCAAACCCCGTCCCACCGTGGGGACCGAGCTCCAAAGGGAAAGGGGAAACGCACTGGTCAGAGGGAAGGGTTTAAAAGGGTCGAAAGCCGTACCGTAACAACCCCCCCCATGGCGGGTGCAAGGGGATGGTGGTGGGTGAAAAATTTGACCAGGAAACGGAACTTGAACCAAAAGGCAAACGGAAAGCGAAATTCAACACAGCCACGTCCAAGCATGCGCAAAGGAAAAAGGCATGTGTTGAAAATCAAAAACTTGCCTTCCGGGCTTTGAGGGCTAGCAAACAAAATCGTTTCAAAAACGAAAATCGTTTGAAGCCCTCTTAGTCCGTATACGTTCAAGTTCCCAGTCAAAAGATATAGAGATATAGAGATATAAGTATATCCGAAAGATATTCCAAAATGGAAACAGACGGAATCGAAATATAATTCCATTCCGAAAGATAGAGAAATGTGCACGCACCAAACCGACATGTTTTCTCGAAAGGAGATGCCGAGTCAACGATCGACCAACCCGACGAAACCCCCAGCCAATGCAGCAAACGTTCAAACCCCGTCCCACCGTGGAGACCGAGCTCAAACGCACTGGTCAGAGGGAAGGGTTTAAAAGGGTCGAAAGCCAAGTAAAACTCGTTTCGCGACCCGGACAGGGGAAAAGACCCGAAATAAATCGAGAAACATGTCATGAAGTGCAGAACACATTCGCTGGTTTTCACTCGGATGCACAACCTGGCGTCAGATCTAGCCTGAGGCACGGGACAATGCCAAGTCCAGCAACCGAAGTCGGCGCTCATGTCAGCATTGAGGTTCACAAGTGCATCAAGCCTCTGCTCATGATAGCGGAGGCATCTAACATTCGCCAGGGGCGAGCGCAGCAAGCGAGCCGCTGTGTTCTCCTCGACCGCCGTGAACACAAAGGAAAAATGATCATCCTCCCCACGTGGGCGAAGTTCGTTGAGCTGGCCCTGCAGTGCATAGATCGCATCCCAGAGGGCCGCCAAGCTGGAATTGCGCAAGCTCGCAACTTCAGCACGTAGCATCAGCACCTCCGCACGAAGGAGATCGCATTGGAGGCAAGGCGGGGGACAGGCCCCCACCGCTCCAAGATCAGCCTCCCGTAGAACCGGCCCCGAATAAGGAGACGACTCCTGATCAGCACCGGACATACATGAAGAATCCACAGAGTGACCCGACATGTTGATGCCAAGGGAGGAGACCCGAGCTACTGTAAGCAAAAAGACTGCGGAAGGCAAGCGAGGCCGGCAGCAGTCAACTTCACAGATATTGAAGCGGACGCCGTCAAGCCGGAGCTCGAAGTCCGCATCAGAGTGCAAAGAAGAATCCGGCAACATACATCACGGCCGGGGCGACACGCATGATCGACGTCAGCATGCGTGCTGAAGATCACCCGGCCGCACTTCTCCCACACGTGCACGGCATGGCAACAGAGCAGCTCTGCAACAAGGCTTCAGTAAAACAGGGCGGCATCTGGCGACGTGTTTTCACAGCCCGGCGAGCAAGCCTAAAAAAAAATGGAAGTGATAACGAAAAGTCAGCACTCAGGATCTACTCAGCCAACTCTTGAAAGGAGGCGGCCACGAGGCCGATGCAGGTTCCAGCGCGAGCCGCTGCTCGAGAAGCCATTGCAGTGGTGGGTGCACACGATCACCCAGCGGCAGAGGTGCAACATCGGCAGTCGTAAGCCTGCTCAATGCATCTGCAAGTTCATTGCGATACCTCGGCACATGCTCGACCTCCGCCTGGACTCCAGCCCACGCCTGAAATGCAAGGAACTTTTTCACAATCTCGCTCATGGACAGCACCGAGGACAGCCTTTTGGACGCACAAGCCTCCGACCGAAGGCAGGCCCGACAGAGCCCGCGATGGGATGGCAAAGTGGCAACAATGCACCAAAGCAACAGTAATTGAGCCAACAGTTCCATCGCCGAAATATGCGCCTGGAGGGGCGGAGGAAACAACGAAGTGAGAGCAGCCCACTCCTGACTGTCTTTTCTGATAGAGAACCAGACTGTGCGACCGCTGGGCCACATAGCGTAGCCTCCTAAACCAGACACCTCCGCCTCGGCAAAGGCATCAGCCTCAGCAATGACCTTCAGCGGGATCGGACTGCGAAGCGCCTTCATGAAAGGGGTGCCCTGGAAAATGGCACGCCATGCAATTAAGCTTGACCTGCCAGCATCCCCGAGGACTCGCAGCGGGTGTCCGGGATCCTTCACTTCCACCCACAATCGGCGCTTCCTGAACTGAACCGTATCAAGATCCTGCTTGGATGAGACGAAAGTATTCGCAGCGCGGGTAACGCAAGCGCCTTTGTGGAAGGACGGGTGCCCAACAGAACGAGTCAGCACGCAATCCTCCGCAATGTTGCGCTTGATCGCAGCCCATAGGTTAGGGGTGACGCCAACCGAGGAAACGGGCAAGCGCTGCAGGGCCGCATACAACGGAGACAGCAAAGGCCTGAGCACGGTCCACAAACCTGTGACCCACAATAGGCGTCCAATGAGTGATTCCAAGGTTTTGAACTTGACCTTGTCACCCGCGGCGAGCAAATCCGTAATTTGGTCAAGAATCTTGGAAATTTTCGCAGGCGGCAGCTCACAGATCCAGCTTTCAAGTTTGATTGACCATCCGATCCAAATGCACTCCGGCGACCAGACACATTTCGACCAAGAAAGCGGCACTCCCAGGGCAAGGAGCAAGAGAATCCAAATGGAGGCAGAGATTGGAGCCACATCGCCACGGAAACCTCCCAAGAAGTCGTCGACGTAGCCCCAAAGAAGATGCGAAAGCCAAATCGCCGCGTGTGACAAGCGAAGTAAGGCCCCCCCAACTCTGGCCCAC